CCAATCAAGAAATCTATTCCAATTCAGTTCATTTTCAGAGTTTATTGATGGAAATGAAGAAGAGACTCTTTCTCGCTGATACTTCTTAAGATGAGTGATTGATAACTGTAAATAATTTTAACTATAAGAAAAGAAAAATATCTATAATATTTAGAAGTATTCTTACTAATTATACAGTAATAGAATAGAATAGATTAGTAATAAGTATAAAATCTCTGATATTTCAGTAAACTCACTATGATATGAATCTGAAGAGAAAAATGAGATTAAATTTAAACTTAAGTATATTTGAAAAAGAGATACTGTCTGCACTGTCATACTCTGCTCTTAACATATTTAATCTCTATATATGAGATTCAGCAGATTATCTAGTTTAGTCTGAAGATGCTGTATATAATGATGAAATCAGCTGTTATTATATAAATTATAGTTCAAATTCAGCTGATTCTTATCATTAATAAAACAGCTTCAGCAAGATCTTCTTACAATTAATTCTTTAATCTCTATATTACTATTTTACTGTGATATATCTTTAAGAAATACTATATAAGATACAATCTCTCTTATCTTTTCTTCACTGATATTCATTATAATTCTCTTATAATTTAATATAAATAAGTCATGCAATAATACAGTAACAGTATCAGAGAAATTGATACTATAAGAATCAAAGATTAGAATAAAAATATTATTTTATTTTAAATACTTAACAGCACTCAGTGTAGAAATTATATAAAAACTCATTAAGCTTCAGTATATATTCTGATATAAATCAAATTCATCAATGAATAATTGATATAATAGAGAAATAACTTGTATATCAGAGTAAAATATGCTTTTCAAAATATCTTATTCATATATATTAATTTTCAACTCAGTCTGAATTAATAAAGATTTATAATATAATTATATCTCAACAGCTTCAGTCTTGATTCTTATAATCTGATGAAGAAAATACTGATCTTTACTCTTATATTCTACTAGTAGATTGAAATCTGATTCAAATATTATATTCACATAAACATTAAGTTAATTCAGAATCTGAATAATTAAGATATATTTCATCTCATCTTTCATTGTAATTAATTTAAATGAGATAAATAATAAATTTAAGAATAATAATCTTTATACTATCTAAGAAGTATGATGAATGACTTCTTAAACTTTCAGAACTATTATATGAGACCTCATTCTCATATCTGAATATTAGTGATTACATCTGATAAAATACACTCTCTTAATATAAGATATATTATTCAATTCTGATTTGTAGTAGTATTTGAGATTCTTATACTGATACTGAATAAAATCAGAAGAAAAAAGAGATTTATTTATTAATAAATATTATACAAAGTCACTGAAATAATATTTGACAGAGCTCTCTTAACTGTGAGATTATTATAACTCAGTGAGATTGTTAATAAGTTCTGTCATTTCTATATACATCTATCACTGAAAATTTGAGGATTTGAGAAGAGCAGATATTAATGAAATTGAATTTTAGAAGTAGAGTAATCTTATAAAGAATACAGTGAGATTTTTCTGAGCAGAACTCAGAGTTGATATTTATATTAATAATACTATTGAAATTGATATTTTCTTAACTGATAAAATCAGAAATTATGCTCTGCATTGCTTTTTCAGAGTTGATAGATCTTTAAGAAGCAGACTTATCAGTGATGTATTCTTCAATAAATACAGAATTTACAGCAGTGATTGACAGTTTTTTCTGAAAATACTTAACTCTTCAACTCAGAGTCTCATTGTCAAAATAAATAAATTCATTTCAAAGTTACTGTATTTATAAGCTATGTCAATTACTGAATCAGAATCAATAAATTCATCAGTAAAATGAATGACAGTAGTAATATCTTCAATAGCAGTATCTTTCATAGTAATATCTTCAGCAACTGACTTATCAGAATCTTTCTTAAATCATCATTTTCTGAGATATTTATTAAGATATTCTTGAGAAATATTCTTCTCAGTGTCTGCTTTCAAAAGTCACTCTATATACTTGATATTATCAGTAATATTCTTATTATATGACTCTGTCTTTAGATAATATTAGTTTTTATAATAATAAGACATTAAAAGTGATAAATGTACTAAGAATAGTAATACTTCTTTATCAGAAACATCATTATCTGAATTACTATCAGTAAAATCCTCATTTACAGTTTCTGAGAAAAGAGAGCTCTCAGATTGAAATTCTGATTAATTATCTCTGAATTCTTATCTAGAGACAGATAGTAGATAGTATTTCAGATTTCAATTAAATAAACACAACATTTTACTTTCTGATATAATTTATAGAAATAAGTTATATAGTTAAAAAGATATAATTGAAGTGAGTGAGCAGTCTTGATAAAATAAAGAGATGAGATTAAATTACTGAAAAGAAGTATATTAATAAGAGCTGTAATCAGTGATAATCTATATTAAATTAATATTAACAATCAAACTATTTTCTTTATTTCAAGATTATATTTCTGTAAGCTTCTGAAACTAGTATCATTCATTGACTAGAATTTCAATCTCATTTTAAAAATGAATACTCTTATTAACTCTGATATACTAGATCTTTCTGAACTTTCTCATCTAGTAGATTTAATGAGACAATTCACTGATTTCAAAGAAAATTCAATATTAATATTTCTTAATCATAGCAGGCATACAATGACATCAATGAAGAATGCTCAATAGATGAGAAGAATAGTGAGAAGAACTCAAACTCCTCACTGATAAACAATTTATTAAGAAGATGTCAGAGAACTAGACACTCTGATACTGAAATATATAAGAAGAAGATCTGTCAGACAGAGCAATATCTGCAGCTAGAGATCAAATGAATATATTTTCTATTCTTCACAAAGAAAAATCTCAATCAGACAGTCATAAAAATAATCAAAATCAATGATAAAATATTATATACATTCTCATTCAGCAGAACAACAATGCTAAACACAGTCAAGATCTAGAAATCAAGATTATTAAAGAAAATAAAGATAAGTATTTAGATTTAGTAAAATAGCAACTTTTCAGTGAGATATAACAAATTCTTGATAAAAGATCATAAATCTCTGATAAGAATTCAGTGAGAAATCTTAGAGATATCTAAACTTTTGTGATCAAGTTAGCTAACTTAATTTCAATATAGAATCATATTCAATGAGAAAAGACAAAGAGCAGAGTAAGTTCAGAGATAATCAGCTTATATAATTATTACAAAGAAACAATTATTTTTAATTACTTTTATAAGTTATTCATCACTGAAAAGTTCTTCCTGATTTTTTATTAAGTATAGAGAGTTATCAACTTTGATCAATTCTCTGAGTGAGAACAATGATATATGAAACATAAGTTAGCATAATTCAAATTGTTTTGAAAACTAGAAACTGATTTCAAAAACAGAGATATATGTCAATCTGACAACTCTGATCAAAATATTTAATAATACTGATATGAATAAAAATTCCACTGTAGTTATAATATAATGATAAAATATTCTGATATTTTAAGATCTGATGAGCAATGTTTCTGAATATCAGAAAATTATCAGAGATGACTTTACAGAGATAATTCAGAATATCTCAACAGTTAAAAAAAGACATGTGATGAAAGATGCACAGAAGAAGATATGAAAAAAGCTCAAATTTTCAGAGATACTTTCAGTAAAAGACAGATAATGTAGAGATTTCTGATATAATCTATTTCTATTTTAATATATTTAGTTTTCTATGCATTTTATATATAAATTAGTTAATATATACTTTATCATATATCATTAGAATACATCTGTCTTGATATTTACTGATAAAAGTTATTATATTATCTATCTTATATTTGATTATAGTTATAGCTGCAGCAGAATCACTGATTTCACTGTATTAGAAAATCTTCTTATTTATCTGAAATTCTGTAGATATATTTCTGACAGCACATTGAATACTTATTCTCAGTTAATCAAAATAATTTTGTATTCAAAATAGCTGTAATTCATTCAGTAATAGCCTGCACAGAAGATATTTATTGTAAAAATAAGATATAGATGAAATCTGTCAGATTTGCTAATTACACTCAGAGATGAAGTATGAAAGTAATCACTCTATTGTATAACAATATACAAAGATAAATCAACAATGTGTGTAAAGAGAATAACTTATTATCTTCTTTTTCTTTCATTCTTTCTTTCTTCTTTATATAATAATATCACACTGTGAAAATTATTCTCTGTTCATTCTGCTCATTCTTGTCTTCAGTAAGATTAGTATTCTATCAGCTGTAATAGAAAGCTTTAACAAGACAAGTTCTGATTTCAAGATATCTTATTCATAGAATATCATGAATATTAGTGATTTATAACAGTAATGACAGTAATAATAACAGCAGTAAAAATAACTGATAAAATATCAAAGTGTACACATGCAGCTGCTGTAAAAGCTCAGGAGAAGAAGATAAGCTAGCAGAATACTCTGATAAAGCAGTCAGATAAAAAGACTATGTATAAACACTGTATCAGATGAATTTTTCTCTGTCATCTCAAAGTCTCTTATAACAAGATAAAGAGAAGCTTGAAGCTGTATAAGAACTGCAACTATGATAAAAAGAGATATATAATCTCTCTCTCTGAATTAAAAGAGTATGTTAACAAGCTGGTCTGAACTCACAATTTTTATGTTACTTTATCAGATGATTTCATAAAATCAGTCAAGAGATCAATATTGAAGACAGTGAAGAATCTGATTAAATAAATCAAGAAGACTAGAGTGCACTGTCAGAAAATGAAGAGTGTGACTGTTATAATTAAGTCACTGAATACAATCATCAGTGTTGCTGAAAAGACTAGAATTAAGATATAAAAAGCTATAATAAATATTGAATACATCAAATTAACAGTTGAGTAGAAGAAAATAGTGATTGAAAAGTTTAAATTATCAGTTGAGTAGAAGAAATTGATGATTGAAAAATCAAAATTGACAGTTCAGCATGAAATCCTGATGACAGTCAATTATTATATGAAAGACCAGAATCAGGCAATAGTATATCTGACAGATATGATAAATCAGATGAATCAAAATGTCTTCAATATTATAGTAAAGATATGTGAAATTTTGAACTGAGTGAGAATATTCTCTGACACTTGGCAGAATGCTGATAAGAATAAGAAGTCTGACAATGCTGATAATACTGATAATTCTCTTCTCTCTGTCCTCTCTGTTCTCTCTGCTCTCCCCGCCGCCTCTGCTGCCTGTCTTGTCATCACCTCTGCTGCTGATGCTGCCCTCTCTGCCCCCCCTGCCGCCTGTCTTGTCACTGCCCCTGCTGCTGCCCCTGCTGCTGCTGCTATCACTTCTGCTAGTTCTCTCTACCTCTTCTCTGAGGTTCTGATGACCAGCCCTGGTTTGAATGTTTTCTGTGATGAAAAAAATGTAAGTTAGAATCAGTGAAATGCTTTCCACATTTATGTATACAGAAGTTAACAATGATGATATAGATAGACTGACCGTGTGACTATATCTAAGATCAGAATCAAACTTTACAGTTATTACATTATTTAAAAGCATTACTTCTGATCATGATTTGTATTCATCACATTGATTTCAAATCATGTTATTTCAAATATTAAAGATCTCAGATTCACTTTTCAAATAAAAATCTAGTCTCAGATAAAGAATATGTTTGAATTCTTAGTTACATTTTTATTTTAATCTCATTATTGAAAATGGCATCAAATGAAACCATGTAGACTAACCGTGTGACCGTGTCTGAGACCAGAACCAGATTTTTTAATAGTCTCATTATAAATTTGACTGATCTCATTACACAGTTTTAACATTAAATAGTAGTTTCATACTGTCTCAGTGAGACTTACTGTCTACTCTTATCATATTTTTCAAATGAGATCATGATTTCCACTTCTCAATTTAAATTATTTTTATTGCTTTAAATGACTTTAAATCTCATTTGAGTGTTATCAAAAAGCATTACTTTTTAAAAAATTAAAAATAGTCTAAAAAAAATCTTAAAATGTCTAAAAATAGTAACTTTATGCTAAGAATGAAACTAAATGAGACTAAATGAGATCACTTTCTCATTTTTTTCAAGTCATGATTCCATTTTAAGATCTGATATATAGTCACTTTACATGTTTTTTTGATAGCCAGTCCCAGCGGGATTCACGCTAAGAAATGTATGAGACCAGATCAAATGAGATCAAACATGAAATTCATGATCTCAGTGACCAGTTTAAAATCATGAAATCATTTCTCACTTACATAATATCATAATATAGTACTCATTTGTTGAAAATTCAATAGAGAGTATTATTAAATATCATTACTTTTCTGAACACAGATTATAATTAATATCATTTTAATTAACAAAAAATATACAATATAAAAAATAACAAAAAAATAAAAAATAAAATAATAAGAAAAAATCACAATAAAAAAAAAGAGAAAGAAAAAAAGAAGAGAAAGAAAAAAAGAGAAAGAAAGAGAAAGAAAAAAAATAAAAAAAATAAAAAAATAAAAAATAAAAATAAAAAAAAAATCAAGATTGCGGAGGTGCAGTACTCTTAAAATACTCACTTCTCAGAGTCTTTATAATATTTATCATTAATTGTGTATTTCTCACAGTAAGAGTAATACAGTTATAATGAGTTATTGTCTTAATATTATCTAATACATAATCAGTATATATCTATATAAATATGAATAATTAGAAAATATACACTTAAAAAGTGTGATCAGAGTGAACTCTGCTGTTACTTGAATAATATCAAGAGCAGAATACTGAAATTAATGATTTTTCTCATTGATTTCACAGATAAGGCATGTGAAGATGATCTTGAGAAATATAAGATTTTCTGACTTCTGATAGAAACAGATCTTATGAAGAAACTCTATTTTTATTATATCAGAGACTGAGTGTTATTAAAAAGTATTACTTTAATGTATGTATACTTACTACAGTGATTTACTCTCTGTATATATAACTGAGAGTTGCAGCTTTCTCATGTCATACAGCTCTCTCTGAGATGCTGCTGCTGATTTGCAATTCATACAGTCTCTCAGTTCAGTACATGCTGTATACATACAGCTCTGCATGCTGAGACTGTGTTGATTATTATAATCTGATATAGTACTTGCTTTTCACAGGCCATGTTTTGTTTGATTGAGAGGAAGAGAGAACACAACTGCTGTTTTATTTAAGAGAGAATGAGTAATTAAATCTGTAGAAGATAATTTGATTTCTTCTGTATTTAAAATTTGATTAGTCTATACTCTTTAATTTGAGAGTTTCTGAGAGTGTTTTAATAGTTTTCATATCAGCTTAGAATTAGTGATTGATTGAAGAAGAGAAAAGAGAGAAGAAAGAAATAAGAATAACTTATCTTTATAATATAAAAACAGAGAATTGCTGTAATCATTTATTCTACTAATAAAAATCTGTTTTCTGTATGTATCTCTGATACAGATTATATAATAACTGTATACAAAGAATATCAATAGTGTATATATTGAATAAAGATAATGTTGCTATGCAACACTGTAGCTGTTTCTATACATTGCTGAAAGCTGTTAATATTTTCTTTGAGTCTCTTTATATTTAATAAGTCAGTAATATATTTCAATACACTTCTTCTTTCATTATTATCATCATCATCATTATCACTATTATCATCATCATTATCATTATTATCATTATTATTATTATTATTATTATATTATTTCTAACTGTCTCTTCTATCTTCACTCTTTTTCAACACTTACTGAAATTAATTATATTATCTCTCTTCAAATATTCTGTGATTCTGCAGACTATCAAGGCGCGTGAGTACTGTCACAGATTGAAGAGAGAGAAGAAGAAGATGTTTAAGTAAGAGAAGATAGATTGTAAGATATGTTATAATGCCTTGAAGAGACTCTGTAAGAAAGCAGAATGATAATGATTTTAAGTAATACTTCTAATAGATTTAGACTGAACTAAGTATAGAAATAATACAGATGACACTGTCTGTGAGAGATTAAAGAAGAAGACAGTGAAGAGTCTTATACAGTAGTAATGAAACTAGAAGAAGTTCTGAGAATGATTTAAGATCAAGATGAAGAGAGAGAGAGAGAAGAAGAGTATTACTGTAAATAAGTAATAATAGAAGAAGATTAAGAGAGTGTTAAAGTAGAAGATAAAGAAGTCAAAACTAATAAGTTTTTTATTTATTAAGAGATAATAATTTTTGATAATACTTCTATTCTCTAATTAATTAGCAGGAGCTGACAGAGAAGAAGAAGATTGATATCTTGTTCAGATCTTGAATACACTTTATAATTCAGAATATTAAGAAGACAGTTCTGCTCTCTGAGTATATCAATCTGCTTACTGCTGAAATGAAACCTGAGACAGCAGATCAGAAAATGCAGGGTTTTGAGATATAGATTAATCTGACTGAGAGAGAGCAGTGAGAACTCTTCTCTGAGAAGATAGTGAAGAGAGATTTTAAAATGATTATTATCTCAGATAAGAAGAAGAAGAAGAAGAAGAAGAATGAGAAGTAAATTATAAAGAATAATAAGAAGAATAAGAAAGAGTAGAAAGATGATAAATAGAAAAAGTTTTTTTCTTTTTATATTAGTTAGTTATAAGTTTATAATTATTAATAATTGAAATTAATTTTGAGTTTTTAAAAATTATTGTACAAGTTGTAATCAAGTCAGAAATAATATATATATATATATATATTTAACTATCATGATTCATAAATTACTATAATGTATAAGTATCAACATTTTTTCAATATTGATATTCATAATATTAATATATTTTTAATAATATCATCTGATAATGTAATTTAGTAATACTCTCTTTCACACTATTAATATATTTCAAGAAATATGACAGAGATTAATCAAGATTATTTATTTACTTTTATACATTAATAATATTCAATCTGAGTTAGTACTAAAATTATAACTAAGTTAAGAAATAAGATTATTTTCTCTTATATTAATTCTTCTTACACACATCAATAATCAGTTATTGAAAATAAATTATTATCTTTCTTAAATTATTATTATATCTTCTGAATTCACTTCTTTCACTTCTTTTACTTCTATTGAAGATTTATAAACTCTTCAAGAAATCACTGTGAATTACAAAGTCTATATTATTTACAATTCAACACAGAATGCTCTCTTTCAATTATAATAAATAACAAGCATCAAATGCTTGCTTACACTCGCTTTTCTGCTTGCGCAGCTCTCTCTACCACTTTCACTCTTCTCTCTGATCACTCTCTACCCCCTCTTTACCACTCCTTTCACCCCTTACTCTCTACCCTCTCTACTACCATCATCACCTCTACCACCTCTATCACTCTCTCTCTCTATCACTCTCTTTCACTCTGTATCACTCTGTATCACCTCTACCACTCTTTCTACTCCTTTCACCTCTTACTCTTCACTCTCTCTATCACCACCACCGCCTCTACCACCCCGCAGCCTCTCTATCACTTTCACTCTCTCTCCGGACCATCTTCTACCCCTCTCTTACCACCTCTTTCACTTCTTTCACTCTCTACTCTCTCTATCACTATCACTGCGTCTACTGTCTCATAGCTCTCTCTATCACTTTCACTCTCTACTTCTACTCTCTTATCACTTCTTTCACTTCTACTCTCTCTACTATTATCACTGTCTCTATCATCTCACAATTCTCTTTATCACTTTCATTCTCTATCTCTATTCACTGTTATCACTCTTTTCATCTTTTTCACTCTCTACTCTCTCATTATTATCATTATTATCATCTCTACTTCTTCTACTACTCTCTTTCACTCTGCATTATCTCTATCATTATTATCAGATTAATCAGAGCTGTATAGACTGCAGAGTTAGCTATTCAATCTCATTTATAAATTCAAAGAGATGTATATAACATCACATGAGATTTTATTACAGAGTATTTAGCAGTATATACTATAAACACAGAGATTAAAATGTGATAGAGATAGTAAGAGAGAAGTAGAGATAGTGAAAGTAATAGAAGAGACTGTAAAGTAGTAGAGATAATAATAATAATAGAGAGACTAGAGAGTGAAAAAGGTGATAGAGAGAGATAATAGAGATGATAGAAATGAAAGAGATAATAGAGATGATAAGAGAGAGCTAGAATGATAAGATAAGAGTAGAGATAGAGAGTGAAAGTAATAGAGAGTACTGCGAGGTGATAGAGACAGTGATGATGATAGAGGTGATAGAGATGATAGAGATAATAGAGGTAATAGAGGTGATAGAGATGATAAGAGGTGATAAGAAGTGATAAGAGAGAATCGGAGTGAAAGAAGTGTAGAGATAATAGAGATGATAGAGATGATAAGAGAGTGAGTGATAAGATGAGAATAGAGTAGAGATATGAAGTGAAAGTGATAGAAGAGACTGTGAGATGATAGAGACAGTGATGATAAAGATAATAGAGATAATAGAAGTGATAGAGGTGATAGAA